ATTAACATTAATTCAATATTTATCCTTTAAAATAGTTTTTGAACAACTTCCATATATCGTATAGTGAATTATTAAAGGGAAAATTGTAAAAAAAAAATAGAAAACCCAAAACTACACTTTTTATGCAACTTATCTCCAACCTAGTTTTTTCTCTCACTTTTTTTTCCGAAACTACCCTTTGTATGGAAAACTTAACTTATTCTCTCACTTATTTCTCAAAAATATATTTTCTATGCAAAAACCCCCAACCAAAAAAAATACCTAAACTACCCTCCCATACTTTTACCTTACCCACGCCTCTCTCTTCCCTATCCCACCAAAATAGAAGGCTCCGTCACCGTGTAAGTATGCGGTTCGGTAGTAGCGCTCTGACACTGTGTAAAGTTCGATCCGGCGATGAGGCTCCGGCTGAGCCTGTGTAAAGTTCAATCCGGTGATAAGGCTCTAGCTGACACTGTGTAAAGTTCAATCCGGCGATAAGGCTTTGGCACGGTGTAAAGTGCGGTCCGGTGGTAGGGCTCCGACACTGTGTAAAGTACCGTCTGGCAATTGAAAAGGGCGGTCCGGCAGTTTCAGAGGCGGTTCGACAAACGGTCCGGATGTAAGGCTCTGGCATTGTGTAGGCAATTGAAAAGGGCAGTCCGGCAGTTTCAATGGGTGGTTCGGTAGTTGCAAAGGACAGCCTGACAGTTGCAAAGGGCGGTACTGCACTTGTGCGCTACGGCAATGTGATGGTGGGCTTTGGCACTGTGCGATTGGGTCCAAAAGTCAACTTAATCAACGTCAAATCTGTCCAAAATCATATTTGTGTATAGGAAAAGCATTCCGTCTAAAAAAACTAAACTTTTTCTCTTGAAGGGTATTCGCATAGAAAGTTTGTTTTGAAAAAAAAAAATGAGAAAAATAGTAAGTTGGGGGTAAATTGTATAGAAGTATGGTATTGTGTTTTTGTAATTTTCCTATTATTACATGCTTGAACAAATATGCTTGCTTTTTTCGAAAACGGGAAGTCAGAAATCATATGATGATTAATCATTAGGAAAAATTTCTAAATCCCCCCAGATAGAATGTCCTCCCCGTTGAAAAGTCCCTCAATTATCTTCGCTAATTTTTTTCACTTAGCCCCAAGGTACTTTATAGTGAAATTTATGACCAAAATACAAGTAGAAGTAGACGCCTGAAAAAAAAAATTCATCTCACTCTCTCTATTTTTATGCCATATTCTTCTCACTCTAAGCAACCTCTTACTCTTCTCTTATTCTCTTATTCTCACTCTATGCAACCTCTTACTCTTCTCTTCTTATTCTTCTCTACGCTACTCGATTTTCTCTCTTCTATGCTTTTTTTTTTTTTTCCGTCAAGTTTGGCAAACTTATTGGATTTCATTATTATAGTAAAGATATACAATGCTCTCAAATATTAATTAAGTCCTTAGAGACCAAAAGCGTCTCCAAACCCACCCCAAACTTAACAAGTCCATCCGTCATTTTCTTTACGTAAGTCCCTCACTTCATCCTCATCCTCTATGGGAACAATCTCCAAGCAGCTTACTACATTTATTGTAGCAGATTACAACATTTTAATGAGTCCCCTTCTACCACACAAGACATAGCTGGAAACATTTCTCTAACAAGATTTAAACCTTGCAGCACCGTAAGAAATTCACCCTCATTTGCAGTTATATTGCCACAAGGACCTGCAAAAGTAAAGAGAACATCAGAAGAAGAGTTCCTTACAACACCACCTACCCCTGTCAACCCTGGCTTCCCAAGATAACTCCAATCAAAATTAAGTTTTATAGAATGTTCCAACAGTGCGTACCACATTCCTTTTGGTCGAAGATGCCAAGTAACGTTGTTAATAGTATTATTAAGGTTCTCCCAAAAATCCATTTAAAAAAACCAGCACTTTTTTAAGAAATTGAGAACCAATGTAGTAGCCTGCTTCTAATATCCTTCATATTATTCCTCTCGTTCCAAACCTCTCATAAAATAGTTTTAATTGTGTGTAATTTGAATTCTTGTTAGTAAATCTTAATTACTCTACAATTAATAAAATTTCAATCAGATATATTGAAATCCCATTGATCAACTAATAAATAGATTCTTGATAAAAATACTATAATATCCCACATAAAACTTGCCATTGAGAATATCTCAATAGGAGTCATTGTCACTAAAATGGTAGGTAGGACTCGATAAATATTAGGGATTCACTTCGCTATAAACCAATGTTTCAAAAAACAGCAATTCAGATCAGGAATCACAGATCTGAATCAGGAATTGGTGGGGACTAATTCACTATAAAGCAAAAGGAAAATATCCCATCCACATAATGTGGACTCTTCAGATTGAACGAGCCCATATCCAAGGGCCTCAAAATAATTCCTTTTTATTTTAGTTAAATATGATTATATGGGCATAGATGATAGCACACTAAAAACTTGAACATCGGAAATATTCTGGTCAATTTTTTTGTTTAAAATATTTTTTATTATTTTTATTTGATGTCTGATATAAAAAAGCATCTATACTTCAAAATTTTAGACAAAGATTATTATTTCTTTTTTTTTTAAAGAAAACAGAATTATTTTATGGCTGTTGAATGAAACCAGGTTCAACCGTTCAAGCATCCATCACATGGATGCTATACCATCCCATAAAAGAAGCTTATCTTCATATGGGGTGCAAGCTTCCACCTCTGTATGATTCCTTTTTCTCAGCTTTTTTAACTTGAGCTTCTCATGGGTTGCCATAACCACTTGCTTATACCTCCATTTATCCACAAAGATCATTAACTGCATCAAAGAACTCTCCCTTAATCAAACCATACAAGAATACATCTACCAAGTTCTGGTCAAATTAAATACTTGGGTTTTACTTGCCAGAATTCACCATCATCTGATTCGTCCATTTATCCACAAAGATCATTGACTGCATCAAAGAACTCTCCCTTAATCAAAACATACAAGAATACATCTACCAAGTTCTGGTCAAATTTAACATCATCTGATTCGTGAAGTGAGCTGTCGAACATAGAAGAACACATTTGCTATAAATTTTTTTTAAAAAAAGCAAACCCTTCAACAACTACCACCACTAGGAAATGCTAAGGGAAACAGGTATGAACAACTACCACCACAAAGGAAATGCAAAAGGATGCAGAGATGAACTACCACCACCACAAAGGAAATGCAAAGGGATACAGAGAAGAAGAGTGATCTCCTTCAAACATATGAAAGTTTATAGGATCCACAAAAACAAAACCATAACCATAACCAGAAGGAAAACAAAGATATTCCAAGAAGCATTCATAAGCATTGCATTCCCCAAAAGAGAAGACAAAAATCTAAGAATCATGTATCCAGAACATGAAGAATACAACTGAAAACCAGGGGTTCAGAGCCTACACTGCACTCCATTTCTTGGGTGATCAAAAGGTGCAAATGAAGCTGACATTTTCCAGAGTTTTCTTCAAAGGAAACCCTTAAGAATCTTCTCTTTGCCCTAATTTGTCTTTAACCAACTGAGCACAATTCCAAACAGGAATTAAAACCCACCTAATAGGAGGAAAAAAAATCCCAACTTTTCTAGCTAGAGCTTCCACATTTGGAGAAACCCAGCAAATTCCTCCCAGAAAAAGCCCTAAACTTGAGGAGAAATGAGCCCAGCAATCCAACAATGACTTCCTATGTTTAGAGAGCATAATCGGGCGAGAAAGGCCAAAATGTGTGCAAATTTCCAGACAAATCCATCACATGGTTAGAATAAACCCAAAATTATCACCATCTAATTTTGCATCTGTGTAGAGGTTAGCAAGCTTTTCTGCTCTTGTAACCTATATTATACAATGCAGAACAAAGAGAAGCAAGGCAAAATCACAAGGATCACAACACAGAAAATTTTGACATTCAGTTCTTATTTTCAGAGATATAACAAAACAAGAGTCATGGAATTCAGATTTTAATGGCTATTAAGCCTGTTTTAGACCATAGACTCAGCATCAATTTCTTGAGTTTTCTTTGTTTCCCTTATGAATCCAGCAAATTTTCTGCCTCTTCTCCAAAACGTAACACATATCTCTCCAAGAACGCCTTCTCCGATAAAACACAAATCGTCGATAAATTTGCATCCTTTTCCAGCAACTTTCTTGACCTCAACACTTTCAATAGATTAATCCTTGGGATCAACCTTCTCTCTAAATTATAACTGAATATATGTGGATGAAAACACAGATATTTTTCATCATATTTAAGTTCGTTGATGAAATAATCCATAGTCTTTTGCAACTTCTGTTCTGAAAAACAAAAGATTACAGGCACCTTTTGGAAAGCGGTGCGGATATCTTCTTCTGACCACCCAAAGTTCTTAAAGAACTTAAATTTCCTCTGCCATGTCTCCTTGCTCATCGAACTCATGAACCCAACAGCATGAGAGTACATTTTAAAGTGAGATTCAATACCCAATTCCTTAACTTTCTCTGTGATTTCTATAAGCCTAATGGCCTTCACTTCAAATAAGGCCGTCCTTTTCAATAAGAGTGCTCTCAACTTCGAGCCGCCAATTCCCTGGCTCTCCATGAACCTAACATTGGACTGCAATCTGTTGGACACCAATCTACGACCTTGACCTTTGAGAAACTTCAAGACACCTTTGGGATCCAAGTAGTTTTTAAGGAAGAGAATGTTAGGGAGAAGTCTTTTGTTTAAGCTATACGTAACAATGGTTGGATATGCAGAGATGACGGCCCCAAGATCGAATTTAGAAAGGCCCAAATCTTCAAACAATTTGAATTTCGGTACTAGGTTTTTCTCGACATTGGCTGCAAGAAGATGGGGGCACTTGTTGATAATTGTATGGATATGGATTGCTTCAAAACCTTTGGCTTTGAGGAAGTTTAGTACCGAGAGAGCTTTCTCAGGGGTTTTGACATGGAGAAGCTGGGAAGATGCAGCAATGGCTCCTTGCTTTGAGAACCCAAAAGAGTCCACAAACAGATTAATCATGAAAGAAGAAGTAGAAGAAGGTAAGGCCGTTCCATCATTAATGAGAGAAGAAGGAGAAGTGAGAGAAGAGGGTTTTGTGGAGAACTGTTGAACATAAGAATGAAGAGAGAGAGGAATGACAAGGGAAATGAGAAATTGGGGTTTGCAGAAAGATTGGGCTTTTGTCAAGGCCATGATTTTGAAGATTTAGAAGAATATCATCAGTTACAGTGTTAATGGACTAACAACACTTTTGCACTCAAAAAAAAAAGGAGAAGATCGTTTATGTTCTGATGAATAAAGAACACCCAACAAAGAAAGAAAGAATGAGGACCATACCCAGTGGCTTGCTGTAATGGGAGGACCGGTAGCTTCCTTTACGCCCTTTCTTTCCCTTACTGCAAATAGTTTATAGAGAGAGATTCAAATAGCGAGGGAAATGCCTTCGTCAAGGTTTAGAGCGAGAAAGTGTGACTGTGACCCTTAGGGCTTGACATGTATCAGAGTAATTTTTCCTCGATCCAGTGCGAGAAGGATTGCACTTGGTGCTTTAAATGGGTTTGGGTTGATGCTGAAACAAATCCGCCCCGACTGTACGGAGTAGCGTAGACCCAAAACCGGATCAGACCCCTCAGGTCCAATATCTAGACCCAGACAGGGAACCAGACGAGGTCGATCCCATATGTTAATCCAATTAGCGCCCCTAATTATACTTACTAGCAACCAAGCAATGTTGGAAAAACCGGGTGATCTAATTGGTATGTGCCCATTTAGATTGGAACTGGCCATTGGCAGGTTTCGGGTCCGGGCTGTTTCGGTGATTGATTGGTATTTTAATAAAAAATTCAAAATACATGTATATAAAATTTCAAAAATAAGGAATTTTGTTTATAATATATTTTTTAATATTCTTTATATTATGGTAAAGATTAGAAATTGTTGTGGTCATTAATACTCACTTCTATAGCTTTCATTTTTTTTGAAAAAATTTAAAAATATCCCTCCACATAAATCAATTCTTTATAATTTAATTTTTTATTAATTTTCAACTTCTTTTGAATGTATTTTGTTTTAATCAATCTTTACATGCTTTTCATATTTTAGTAGATATTTTTTGTATATTTTTTATTTTTTTCAATAATTTTTTGAATGTCTGGGACTTATCCGGTTAGAACGGTTGAATCAGCCGGTTTACCAATTAGACCGTTTAAACTACTTCCGACCCATGTCCAATTACTCATTCCAATTCGATTTTGCAATCACTACAACCAAGTGGTTGAGGTGTAAAAGAGATGGCCTTCGCTCGGGTCTATCTTAGTAGAGGACCTACATGCGGACCAGCACTTAGACGAGTCTAGATTCCTCTCATTCAAACCACCAGACTCCAGGATGGCACCCAAAGCACTAGACTTTGAGGATAGTTTTGCTCAATCTAAACCCAACCTAACTTTGGTTTTCGTATTCCTTCTATAATAATAAGTAGACAGTTTCTATGAGTCCAGGTAGGTAAAAATGATTGGCCTCTTAAAATTTTATTTTTGAGATGAATTTTTTGACCTAATTTTTTAAAACATCCCTAATTTTGAGATAAATTTTTGGACCTCATTTCTAAAGACATGCAATTTCTTACATGGAGATCATAAATATAAATAAATAAATAAATTTTAAAAAAAATTTAAAAAATAATTTTATTAAGAAAACATTTGGACAATCAGTTTCAATTGTTTTGTTTATCAATTTCAATTATTTTGTTTATAGATAAACCACCTATTTGTATCCATCTTTAATATGGATGCCTTATTCCCCAAAGACTGCAACTGTAGAAATACGGTCGTCGCCGCATGAAATAATTTTCCTAATCATAAAGCCTTGGAGCACTATCAAATGGAACATTATACGAAGGATATTTGTACAATGTGTCAACCTTGGATAATCAAAGTTAGGCGCCTCCAAAACTGGTCAAAGGACAATTTGAGTGCCACAAACCTCTATTACGATTTGAAAATCCATTTCCACCCCAAGTTATGAAATTCAAAACTTAAAATGATGCTAATTTATAAGCTCTTGAAAGTGTTGAAAAAAAATTAAATATCTTATAAACCATGTGCAAGTCACAAAGAACTTAACAAAACTAATCAATAAACCCCATATTATCAAGAATGCATGGGCTTCTCATTCAAGCTCACAATTACAGTGTTGGCGAAATTCTCACAATTGTCAAGAATGATATTCATCAGCTCAGGTGCATTCTCCCTCAGAATTACATTGGCAAGGACAAGAGGGAGTGACTCCAAACCTTTGAGGGCTTTAAACACAATCGAAATGTTAAATTTCATCCCCTGTTTCACCGTCCATTCATTCTTCTTATTCAAGCTCAAACAAGACTCTCAAAACTCGACCCGTGGACCGGAACCCACCAATTTCGTCAAATTTGAATAGAACCCATGGGCTTCTTTCTCCTCCACCTCCATTGCCACCTAATAAGCATCACCCATCTTTTTCCTGGATTCAATGCCCACATTGCTGCCTCTTGGGTGTTCAAAAGCACATTACAAGCCTTGCTTTGGACCTTATCAGCATCAATCAAGTAAAGCCTGATAATGTTAAGCAGCCATGATATTATCGCACAAACTATCACACATGTCACATCATAACAAAGGTGGCCATTGCATAATCGCGGGGTCTATGTCAAAATTTACCTCCACTTTGAAAGATGGGCGAATAACAAATATCCACATTCTCAAGCTATATAATCTTCACTTCAGAGTTTTGAGGGGTCTAAAATGGTGAAGAATAAGAAACCTTCTTCTCTACATCTATAACATCCTCATGCTTTGGCACGACAAAGTACTTGAGTATGGATGAGCTTCCTTCCCATTTTTAATTTCACTTTCTTCATTGCAAGCTTCAAGAACCTAGCAGTCACATCCTCGAGCATGAATCCAATTATGCTGAACTTTGCCCTCCATTATTCAGTAAGCTTCCTTCTCCAAAAGGCTTTTTTGTAAAATATACAACGTCCCATTTTCTCCATTTTTGATGGGTTCCTGATCGCCTGCAAATTATATTCCCTCTAGGCTATCCCAGCTTCATTTCTCACCTTATAGATCAAAACCACCAAATTAAATGCCAAGTTTGCAGGATGCTATAGAGTTTCAAGGATTTTGGACTTCTTATGGCTACAAAGAAAGTGGATTTCATTTGGGGGTAAAGCCTTGCATTGTTCTCGGAACACATCACTGAGAAGGCAAATATTCAGGTCATTAGTGGAGGGTGGCTTTGATAATGCTATGGCATCAGCTGAAGCCTAAAGATTTGGTGACCCCCACAAGCATACATACCAGTGTGTTGGTCTAACATTTGGTGACCTCCCACCTAGTATTTTTCATGTATAAGTAAGTTTTTTTTTTTTACTGTATTAAAAGACCAAAATTACAAAAGGTGAGGTGACCCAAGAGAAGAGGAGGGTACATCCTTGAACAAAGGATTAATGGTGGCCTAGAAGGCCACAAGGTTCCTGACCTTATCTGCCAAAGGCCTTGCTGAGGACCTCCTTCCCCTGAAGATTCTCTGGTTCCTTTCAGTCCAAAGGAACCAAAGGGTGGCAGAGATGGATGCTTTCCACAGTAGCTTCCCCCCCTTCAACCAAGGTGAATGGATAAAGGTTTGAAACAGATGAGGAGTGGATCTAGGGGTCATCCAAGCGTAATATATCTCAGGAAGTAGGTAGCTTCTTACAAATGTGAAAATTAGTTGTAACAACAGGCACCCTTCAGCCAGATTAGTTCATCAATCATCACCTCCGCTGTCATTGAAGGATCTGAATGATGCAAGTTTCCGCTCTAGTAGAGTTTCTAATACGAGATCCAATATTTCAGTGCATAACTTCCACAAAAAGCAGATCTCAGAGGTAAAATAACCAAGACAATATTTTTAATCTTCATTAAGATGCCTGGAATTTTGTCATAGCAGCCAGTTTAAACTATCTGCACAGTTCATACTGATGATTGGGTAAGTCCTAATGGAAAAGTAATGGCTAGGAGTTTCCAGAATGATTCCCAGGCATTGCTTTGATAAAGCCCCAAGCATTATCTTCCAAACGTTCCAAGGAAGCAGAGGAACACAAGAAATGTCAACTTTCCATTAAACAAGCATCCGGAGAGTACATGAAGAGTCATATGCAGAGAGAGCTCCAAGCCAACCCTATTTTTAAAAGCAAACAAAATTTTTAGAACCAACTGAATTCTTGAATTGCAGAATGAATTCTTGAATTGCAGAATCCATGACAAATATAGATGCATTTCTTGAAAATTTTTTTTTTTGAGAGAATCATTTCTTGAATTATTCCCTCCACAATCGATGCCTCAATCCTTAAATTCAAAAAATTTCTCAGGTAATCAACCCAAGCAAGAATCATCAAAAAAGGTCCAAGGAACAATGAAATGGCAGCTTCCCAATTAAAGAGGCATTTTAAGAGGACATGAAAATTTTGAAGAAAAAGAAATCCACCCCATGAATGAGATTTTAGCAGCTAATTTAGATCACATGCAATAAAACAAAAGTAGCCGCTACCTGTTGAATTATTATCTCAACAACTGATGCCTCCATCAATAGATTCCATAGTTTCTTATGTAACCAACCCAACTCAACATAGTTTCTAAAACCAAGAAGTAGAGAGCGAGAACGAAGAAACTTTCAAAGAGAAGAGCACAATGAAGGGTAAGGAGGAGTAGGTGGTTGGATCTGGTTGAGAATCCTAGTTTGGAGTTGAGAGAGAGAGAGAGAGTATTCGCATAAAAAGAAGCAACAAAATCTTATTAACCAACAGCTCTCATTTTGGGGGAAATCATCCATTCAAAATGAGAGAGAGAGAGAGAGAGAGAGAGAGAGAGGAGGAGA